GGCCCCCATCTCAAACCTCTTGCTCATCCCAGACCCTGCCAAGCAAAGCCTCAGTACCACTAGCTGTGTTAGTGTTCATGCTGTAACCCGTCCAGACTCAGCTTTCCTTGTTACCACCACCAAAATGGGAAGGATCCAGACAGCACCTGAGACTGTGAGAGGGGGCTTTCCTTCTCCCTCTTCTCTAATAGCCCCACCACTGCCCCAGGCAGTCCCACCCACAAGAGTCAGGATGGTACCTGATTGCGTTTAGGGAACATGGTCCACCCCATGACTGCATCATCAGAAACCACTTCCCTCCCAGGCAAGGGGAGTCAGTTTATTGTGAACCCAGCTTCTTCATCCCAAAGCCCTTTTCCTGCAGAACAGAGCATGTGGTGCCCACGTGGGGAAGTGATCTCAGACCTTTTAATCTCATTTGGTGCCAGAGAAGGCTGGGGAAGATGTCTTTTATGGCACACTGTGAGTGGAGGGGTGTTTCCCAGCTTGGGTAGACAATCACACACTAGCTTTGCTTTGGCTCAGGTGTTTCAGATACCAGAGATTACAGTTGCACCATGTTGGCCTCTGGATTGAAGAGACCTAGACAGTAACTGTCTGGGGCTTCTCTACCAGCCTTCTGGAAGGGGAGGCCAAATACTCTGCAACATCACTAGGAAGGCTGGGCAGAAATACACTGTTGATGAGATTGGCCTTATATTGAAATGCGCATGGAACTACAGATTGGTTAGCATCCATGGTTCTTAAACAAGGGAAAGGGGAGCATCCAGAGGAGGTAGTCCCCAAGGTGGGGGAGAATATCTTGGGTTAGATGTGGTCCTTGCTGCAGTGGAGGTTGGGCTATAAAGGAAATAGCCTGGCAGGAGTGGTGGTCAAGAGAATTTCTCCTAGAGTGCTGGTCTTTTCCTAGAGCCTGGGGACTGAGTCTTTTCTGCACCCGATACAAACTGGGGCATCTTTATGAGCAAATTATACCAGCTAGAGCTAAGTGAGAGGGGCTGAAGGTGACCAAGCTTTAGTATTGGGATACCATATCTCCCAAGGAGGAACTTTTCCCTGTGTTGGGTGAAGGAGAGGCAGAGGTTCCAGGAAGGACAAAATAACTGTCAGTAGCTTTTCTGGGATGAGAATATAATTTATGAAGCTAATCTAGTGTGACCCTCTTGCTCTGTCTCAGGGCAGCAATTGTAGAAAGGTCTGTTTGAGTAGAACTGGGAAGTTGCACCTTTTGGTAAATCAAAAAGACCCCAGTTCATTCAGTGTCTGCCTGAGGAAGGGGTTATTCCTAGCTTTCAAAATTTGTTCTTCAGCCCTTGCTCTGCAAATCTGTCTGGCCCTTCATAAGAATGACAGAAAACAAAGCAAAAGCTGCTAGCCGTAAATAGAGAAATAAAAGGATTCCCCCCCATCTCTCCCCCATTCACAGAGTTTGTCCTAGATTACTGGAGATTACCCCTCCCCCTGGATATTACAGGGGCATGGACATGAACTCAGTCCTGAAGAAAAGAGTAGAATTTGAGAACATTACAAAGAGGCACCTAGACTTTTCTTTTCTTTCCACTCCCCTCCCTCTGTCTCTTGTTACCTGTGGCTGGCAGGCATATATCCTGAAAGCTAGTGTTGTGCAGTGTCCCCCTGCAGAAGAGTAAACCTGTTTTCCAAAGTCAAGAAGAGTTTTCCCTGTCTCTAAGTGCTCAGCAATATCAGTGGGTCTC